CCCCCGCACTGAAATGGACGGGACAGAAGCAGAAGGTGGTTCTTATAGAGACAGAGGCCAATTTCAAGGCGTTTAGAAGAGGGAGCGGTGAGAAGATAAGTTTATTTTCTATTTAAACATAAAAACAGCATTTTAATAACAGCTAAAGGTGACATAGATACTTTATTATGGTATAGTATTTAAATATATACCTGAGAAACACATAATATTGGCCCTTTAAAAAAGCGTCATAACATTCATCTGCTAAACGAGCTGAACGTTTTGATAGATGAAGGTACAACTGACAAAGTAATTAGATTACAGCAAGTACATAAACAGGAAAACAATAGTGTGAATGCTGTTTTCATAAAGGTATATTGTAGATTATAAAGATATTAAGCTTAGAAAGCTTAGAAACAAAGAGTTTTCTGTGTTTAAGTTTAAACACAGCGCAGTAGATGTGAATCGATGCAGTTCCCTCCTCCTCCTCCTCCTCTCATCCCTCCTCCTCCTCCTCCTCCTCTCATCCCTCCCTCCTCATCAGATGGGGAGGCAGGAATCGAGGCAGCAGGTGCAGCTCCATCTGTAAGTGGTCTAGGGCTACGTCACGTTACGCAGCAGCAGCAAACAACACCACTCCAGGAAAATGGAGGCAGGTTTTGGCTGAAGACAAACAGAGACGGAGAACGAGCCCTGAGCAGCAGGAGGACACTGAGGGGGGTGAGCAGGGAGCACAGGGAATGAGTTAGCAAATCAAACCTTAGACGTGCGTCAGGTCAAAAAGCGCATTTGCATCAGCGCTGGCAAAATCAAGCAGCTCCAGGTTCTTTACTGCAGGTAAGCTGGACTTGTTGTTCGAATGTGTGACGAAGCATCCGTTAAAAGAAGGAAGAGATGAGCTTGTTTTTGTTGAGAGATCAGTCTGCTGCAGTAAGTTTGAATACAGCGAGCTTTAGTTTTGATGGTTTCTCATCAGTTTTCCCTGCAGGCGTCCTCAGACCCCACACTGCTGCTGGTTTCTCGGAGCTGAAGCCAATAATGTGGATTCAGGAAGAGCAAACACTGTCGTACACCGTCCTCCTGATGCTCTGACTGCAGCTAAAACCCAATCTGCTGAACAGCACTGCTCTGCAGCTCTCTGCGGCTCTTCAAACCGTTCAGATTTCAGTCTCTCCTTGTATTAAAAACTTGTTTGCACATTTTCTCCAAAAACCATGCAGAATTTGACTCAACATTTGAACATTTCTTTGCATTCATAGACATACTTTTTGTCTTCCATTCCTCTCTTCTCCCCTCTGTTTCTGCTCCCCTCCCTCTCTGCTCTGACTCACACCCTGGCAGCTCTGTAATCTCCATGTCTCCCAAGAGACAAGTTGATCTCTACTGTCCTCCTTCTTTACCCCTCCAACTAATCCAGATCAGCTCTTAACTGGTCCACCGAACAGCATCCTAATCGCTTTGTTTCATAAAGTTTTTTAAAACTCGTGCCTCATCAGGTTGTGTTTTCTCTGCAGACCTCTACCAGAGTACGGAGACATGGACCCCGACTACGGTCTTTCGGACAACAGAGTCTGTAAGTAAAAGTAAAATGCAGTGAAATGAAAACGATGTGGCAGAAAGTGAAGCTGCTTTATCGCCCTGCTGTAGCTCCTCCTAACTCGCTGCTTGTGAGCCCTCCCGGAGGAGGAGGAGGAGGCGTCTCTTCATCTCATTGTAAACGGAGGACACTGGTGGCCCCGGAGATGAATCTGTCCTTAGATCAGAGCGAAGGTTCTCTGCTGTCAGATGATTTCCTGGACACGCCGGACGACCTGGACATCAACGTGGATGACATCGATACTCCCGATGAAACAGACTCGCTGGAGTTCATAACCAACGGGAATGACCTAGAGTGGGAAGGTCAGAATCACCTTATCTTTACTTACTACCAGAAAACAGATCAAAATAATCTTTTTTATTTTGTTCTGTTTTTTTTTTTTTTTTTTCATTGTGACCCTAACCCTGTGACCAGGGCCAGCCCATGGCATAGGCAGTATAGGCAAATGAAGGGTACCATTCATCTAGGGGGCTCCACAAATGGGGAACAAAAATATATTTTATCAGAGTAAAGTTGGTTTAGACTGTAGAATAATGACTGGTTACTCAGGTTTATGAAAGTAACTTGATCTGCTTTGTGACTATGAGTTTATATGGTGCAGAGGATTCATGATAAAAGCATGAGATGATGCAGTCATGACTCGTGGTGCGCAGTGAGTAAATAGAAAACAAAATAAGAATAACGCAAGATTCAGTTATGATAAAAAAAATACTGATTTTATGTTTTCTTTATACCAAGAATTTAGAAAAATTATCCTAAACATCTAGAAAAAAGCAGTTTTGACTAGACATGGGTTTTTACAATGTAAAAACAAGTGTGCATTGCCATGTAGCATGTCATTGCAGCATGGCTTTGCCTGCAGCAGTGGACTTTAAGAATGAAATGTGACCCAGTTCAAATGTGTTTTCTGCCAGCTTGTGCTTGTCAAGTCAGCAGGTGTCTGTAATGAACGTAATTGTGTGACAATATGAAGTTTGTAGAGATTTTTTGTTAAAGTTGCTGTAGCTGGGTTTTGAACCCTGCTCTCCCACATGAAAGCCCATAGAGTTAACCATGAGACCATTGGAACTGTGGCAGAGGGTACTGCCAAGGGTTGGTTTGTATGTGTGCAGAAAGAGGCCACATTGCCAATGCAACTGTTGACATTAAACTGCAATATATTACAGCAATGGAGCAATATTAGGACAATATTATAGTAAAACATCAAAATACAATCTTATTAGTATTGTAAACACTGAACCATTGAGATTAAATATTATTAAACTATGGTTCAGTACTGAGTATATACAGCAGGGGCAGTATTGAACCAATACAAGGCTCCATTGACTCCCATTATAAATTATTAAACATTAATATTTCAAAAACTACAAGTTGTACAGGCACCAAACGGCATAGCCATCATTTGGCATAGGAGCTTTACAGATATAAATTATAATGGCAGCTCTAGGACAAAGTATGCAGGAGGAGAAGCGTGCCAAAGTGGAGATGACTTGGATGGGAAACGAATCACAATATGTTTTTACATAGTTTTCCAGGGGAGTCTAACCATGAATCCCCCTTAGAACTGCTTCAGTCCACAGCTGCTCTGTAACGCGAACAAGTGTTCCTCATATCTGTCAGCAAATGTTGAGGGGTATGAGGTAGACTTCTGGTGTTCTGTTTCAAATTAATTATATTGTTAACTAATTTAATTGGACAACCTGGTTTCTAAAGACAACAGATTAAATCAAAGACAAAACTATTTAATTTGGGATGTGAATGGATGTAAATTGGCAGTGATTTAGAAAATTGCACAAGGGGGCACATGAAATCTTGTCTAGGGTGCCAAAAGGGTCGACCCTGCTTGTGACTCATAATTATTCTTAGTATTTTTTTAATTAGTGATACTGAAGATCAAAACACTGCACCCGCAGCTAATTTCCTAATCTGGGTCTAATAATAATACACCTCTCTAAAACCTTTAGTGTGTAATCCTTGATTTTGGCCTGCTGCCAAATGATAAAGATGGGTGATAATATTTTTGCTTGTGCGTGTTTGTTTGTCTCTCTGTCACCAAAATATCTAATCAACAATCGGACAATTTTTAATGAAACATGCAGAAAGTAATGAAAGTGCATTTACAACTGATAAATTTTGAGATCAACTCAATTAAAGGTTACAAATAGCTGTAATTTAGTTTTACAGATGTTGTGCTTTAATTTGATGTGGAAGTAGCTCGGATTCATTTGTGACATATGTGAGGAGTTTGTTGGGCAGTGTTGAATTTTGTCTGTTTTGTGCACTTGTTACTTTTTTATCTGCTCAGAATTACAGATGAGATTTAGCTGTTGTGCTAATTCCGGCACATTTATATTCACAGAATATTGATTAGTGTGCATTGTTCTTTTACATAAATAAACAGAAAAAAAACCCATCTCACATAATTGCATGAGAATGTGCCTCAACATTACTTTTAAAGTTTGACCAAAACAAAATTTGAATTACTTTTATGCTTTTGATCAAATTTGTCATCAAAACGTGATTTAAAACCAGAAGTTCAACCTAAAAATGCCATTTTTAAACAAAAAGGATGTATGTACCAAATGCTGCTCTCAACTAAAAACTAAAATCTACCTCTGTTCAGACGACACTCCGGTGGCCTCGGCGAAAGCAGGTCCTGCCGGCGGCTCAGGGGAAGCGGGCGAGGACGGAAACGCAAATTGTGGGCGTCTGTGGAGGACAGTGCTGATAGGGGAGCAGGAGCATCGTATCGACATGCAGCTCATCAGACCTTACCTGCGGGTCATCACACATGGAGGTCAGTGTCATTCTGTGTGTGGGGGGTTTAGCTAACACCTGAAACACCTGCGTCATTCACTTTTACCTCTGTCTCTCATCAGGATATTATGGAGAAGGCCTGAACGCCATCATCGTGTTCTCTGCTTGTTACCTTCCCGACAGCAGCTGCTCAGACTACCACTACATCATGGAAAACCTCTTCCTGTATGAACTGAGATGACTCTGTATTCATGTGTAACCGTTCTGACAGAAGGTCCTGATAAATCGTCTGACCTGCAGGTATGTGGTCAGCAGCCTGGAGATGCTGGTGGCCGAAGATTACCTGATCATCTACATGAACGGAGCCACGCCTCGGAGTAAGATGCCCGGAATCAGCTGGCTGAAGAAATGCTACCAAATGATTGACAGGAGGTAGAAGGAGATGAGAGACAAAACTCATGTAGATTCACTTTAAGCTCAAACTCACCCAGCAGCTCTTTCCTTCTTTGTATTGTTTTCAGACTGAAGAAGAACCTGAAGTCTCTGGTCATCACTCATCCCACGTGGTTTATCCGTACAGTTCTGGCCATATCCAGGCCTTTCATCAGGTGAGAACACTTGGGTTTTTATGCCGTGGCTTTAAAATAAAATCCTGTCACTTTTCGTTCAAACTGTACAAAAATGATGTTATGCATTATCTTATGTCCCACAAACTCAGGGAATATTTTGAGGATGACTCCCAGCAACTACCACACCAAATCTTAGCTGAAAACAGTGGCGTCACTAGGCCTATTTTAGGGGGGCTGGAGCCCCCCTAAAAACTAATGCAAAGTATAATTTCAGTAACATTTATTTAGAGAACAATACCTACACTTTCAGATATATATTAATTTCCATAGTTTTGATGGAAACTTTTGATTTTTTACCTGGATTACTGAGATGCATCAGGACAATTTCCATAGTTATTTCTAAATCATTCAAGGCCAAATAATATTTTAATTTATATATAAATAAATTCTGTGTGTCTCCTGGGGGCTAAGCCCCCCCTTGTCCTTAAAACCTAGTGACACCCCTGGCTGAAAATCTCCCAAACTGACTGAGTTAGAGCTGTTTTTGTGTTGGCTTAGCTCATTTAGCTGTGGAGGCCGTCATGAATTGGGTTGACTCTAAACCCTAATGAGTAGATGTGTAGCCAATACTTTCTAAAGTTTTCACTGAAATCAGTTGTTATTGAGATATTTTGCTAACAGACAGACAGTGTTGACTCTAACAGTGGTTGATCAGATATTTTGCTAACAGACAGACAGTGTTGACTCTAACTTATTTGTCAAAGTTTGCATCCAAAACAAACCAAAGGTTTAGCTAGAAGCTAGATGCTAAAACAAAAAAATGGTAGCTACAAGCATTAAATGCTAGCTAAAATTGCCAAAAGGCCAGCTTAAATCTACAGGTGACAAAACCTAAGCTAGAAGCTAAATGTAGCAAAAGCCTAGCTAAAGGCTAAAACTAAAAATGCTAGCTACAAGCATTAAATGCTAGCTAAAATTACCAAAAGTTTAGCTTAAAGCTACAGTTGCCAAAACCTTAGCTAGAAGCTAAATGTAGCAAAAGGCTAGCTAAAAGCTAAAACTAAAAATGCTAGCTAGAAGCATTAAATGCTAGCTAAAATCACCAAAAGACCAGCTTAAATCTACAGGTGCCAAAACCTTAGCTAGAAGCTAAATGTAGCAAAAGCCTAGCTAAAGGCTAAAGCTAAAAATGCTTGCAACAAGCGTTGAATGCTAGCAAAAAGCACCAAATGACTAGCTTAAAGCTAGGCTAAAGGGTAAAACAATCAAAAAGCTAACTAATTAAAGCAAAAGATTAGCTAAAAGTCACAAGTATCAAGTGCCTAGCTAAAAGCTAAAAGCAGCAAACAGGTTGACTCTAAACCTTGCAGCCAATGGTTAATTTCTAAAAGTGCTTTGCTAACAGGCAGAGTTGACTCTTAGTTATTTGTCAAAGTTTTCAGCAAAAACATTGTTTAATATAAAGTATGTGTTGTGAATGACTTTCAGCTAACACCACACCAAGGTTTAGCTAAACATTTGTAAATATCTCTGAGTTATAGCTGTGGTTATGTTAGCTGAGGTCAGCTGGCTGTGGTGGCCATCTTGTTTTGGATTGACTTCAAAATCAGCTGCACATATACATCTTATGATCACGTTACGAATTTATTGCAGTCTTGCGATCACTGCACATGTCTGTCCCAAAAAGGGCTTGTTTCAAAACTAAACTTCTCCAAGAGAGCTGATGTCAAAACTAATCTGGCTGTGCTGACAACAGCTGACACAACAATATGTGACTTGATTTTAAATAAATGTTCATATATTTATTTAAATATCCACTGTTCCCCTCTGCAGTGTGAAGTTCATGAATAAGATCCAGTATGTCCACAATCTGGATGAACTGGCACAAATTGTCCCCATGGAGCACGTCCATGTTCCTGAGTGTGTGGTGCAGTGAGTATCTTTGACCACTAGATGGCAACAATGAGCTGCATTGGAGTCAATATAAATGTAAATTTAAGTCTGCTGTGATTTTATTTAAATGAAGGAAAAATGGGATTACTCGTCCAGTTCTGGGAATAGATCTAGACGAAGGGATTTACAGTTTGATTTAACAGTGTTACTGTTTTTTTTTAGATTTGACGAAGAGAGGATTAAAGCCCGGAGGGAAAGGTAAAATCCAGTTTTTCCTCTAATTTTAATGAAGATTACTCACTAACCCTCATACATATTACTGAAATTGGATTGAACTGAAACTGAACTGTGGCTTAAGTTCTCATCTGAATTAATTGGTTGAACAAGATTGCCTCTGGATTTTCTAAACAAAAAAAACTGCATCAGCAAAACTGCTTACATGGTTCTGTTTTTATAAATATATAGGATGGAGCAGGAGCAGCGACAGCAGGCTCAGCAGCCGGTCCCACGGGAGCCTATTAAAAAGTCTGAAAGGTAGAACATCCTGATTCTTATTATTATTTTACATAATTCTTAATATACCGCAGGGAGATGAAAATAAAAGTCTGATGCAAATGTAGACTGTTTTTTATGAGTTCTTTGTGCCTTTTTTGTTTTATCATTCATTCCAGGCCAAAATCAATGATTGTGGGGTTGTGAGAAGGGCAGGAGCGAGAAGCTGAAGGTAATATGAACTTTGGCTGTTTTTCCTCATTTTAGCCATAAGTAGGGGTGTAAGAAAATATCGATACACTGAAATATCGCGATATTTCATTTCCCGATACTGTATCGATATTCTAAGGCCCTGTATCGATTTTTAATTAAGGTTTAAAATGTCAACCTTCTTGCCAACCGTTCATTTTTATGTTGTAGTTCAGCCTCTGACCACTAGTTGGCAGCAGTGAGCCAGCCATTTGGCTCCTCTACCTCTTGAGCGCCAGAGAGTAAGGGTAGCATTACCATTGTAAGTAAACATTAGCTTTTTTTTTTTTTTTTTCAGTAAGAGGTTTTTATTTAACAGAATTTTTGGACAAAAAAATCGCAATATATCGCCTTGTTTACAGTATTGAAATATATCGGGATATATCGTATCGTGATCCCTCTGTTATGATGTGTATCGTATCGCCAAATTCTTGCCAATACACAGCCCTAGCCATAAGCTGGTTCTGTGTGCTGTGTAAGTGGTTTATCTTATTAAGTGTCAGGCTCCAGAACACCCATTCTCACTGGAGGGTGCGTTCCAGTTTAAATTTACAACTTGTAACTAGGAAATTCCCACTTCCCAGTAAAACAACTGCAATAAAAGTAGCTGGTAAATGCAGCAAAATGGAGATTTTCAGAGCAAATTTTACCAGCTACCTGCTATTTTGAGGTACACTTCGCTGCAGCATGCAGAATGGGGCGGGGACGGACCTTTCTGTCAGTCCCATACCTTATATGGAAATGGGACTATTGCATTCCGGAAATGAAGGTTGCTCCTTAAAGACGCGGGATTAAGAGAGCAAGAAGGACGAAGTTAGAGAGTTTCTTCTACTCACGTTGAAGTACTCAGAGCATTATTTATTACTTTCTTTTATCCACCTCCCCAAACACAGACCCTCAGGTTAACCTCACAGGTTTAATGCCTAAGGTTAACCTCACAGGCCTAATGCCTAAGGTTAGTTTGTTACTGTAATATAATATTAATATCCAAAAACAACAAAGATTTAAGAAAGATTTGAAAATGAAAAAGGGACATACCACGTGACATAACACGTTTTGTAGCCATGTCCTTACTGTAAAATTCGTATTTTTAATGTTGAAAGTGTTTGATAGAAAATAGTGTCACTAGCGCCCCCTTCATGTTCGGAATGCAATAGTCCCATTTCCATATAACAGGGGTATTCAATTAAAATTTAAACGGGTCCAATCAGAGTAAATTTCTTAAGACCAAGGTCCATAAGATTTTAATGTCCCACTATATATATAAAGTAGCTTAGTAGTTGTATCAACATCTGCACAAATAGATTTGCATTTAAATTTTAATGAATTCAGTCTAATTCAAATAATTTTTCAATATTTATTGTCACATATAACAAAAAGATAAACATGAAATTCAAAAGTCTGATGTTTTATGTTCTCTTACTGAATAAAAGTATAATGAACATGTCAAAATAAGAAACTGAACAATACATGACAACTGTGCATGTTGATTTGGTACATTTGTTCAAAACTTTGTTTAAAACGTTTATACTTTGTTTTATAATGGCATTAAACATTGCTACTTTGATTAAGTGTCACGTTTCTGAACAAGTAAGACACACTGGTTTAGTTCCAGTGGGAAGTATAAAGAAAAATTACTCTGTCCATCCCGGATTAAATGCTCTATTTTCGCTATCCTTTTTTTTTTTTGATGCCACTATTTTTTTTCCCTGTATTTTTTGTTTTGTATTTGTGTCTGTTAATTCTCCAGTTTCTCTCCCTTTCTCCATCTCACCTATCAGTTTTCTCCATCCTTTCTCACCTGTCTGTATATTTCCTTCTCTATGCCTGTTCCTGTCCCCTTCTTCATCCTTTCCTCTGTCTCCAACACTGGACYACTACTGTAAAGACTGCAAAACCTGTGCATGTAACTGGTTTATGCTGCGTTCAGACCGAACACATTTTGCGCATCAAAAATGTGTCCAATGACTCGAGTTGGACGCTTGTGCACTTTGAGACGCTCGTCAAAATCGCTCTATTCGCACATCAAGATGCACGTTGAGAGGAGCCTTCTTTACCGGTTTCTGTACGACAGATGAAATTGAGAGTGTGGCACAGCTTTATTTACTGAGAGCSAGARGACGTTGTTGTTGGGCACCTTGGATTCACCAGATAATTCAGAGGCGTTCTGAGTTTGGTGAGTTTCACCACTCCAGGAGCTGCGTGCTGATGAGTGTTGCATTCAGCACTTTTTTTGTCCTGAGCACAGTTTGACTGGGTTGCTGACCCCCATCRATGCCCATATCTTCTGCCAGGACATCAACTACAGGTGCTTGATTTCAGCTGGAGAGCTCTGTCCATCTGTCTCAGGTTAGTGGGCATCATTCAGGAGATTATCCCATCAGAAAATGTGCCACTACGTCACACATGGCTAGATGTGGCTGACACTCCATTTCTAGCTGCTAAATTTCAGATTTTCCACCTCAAGTGCCTGCCTCTTTGGATGCGTTATACGTGCATCCAACGCTTCAAAACGCACAGCCACACTTCTCAATGCCCCACCATAGACTTCGCTTGTAAACCCGATGCCCCTGACACTCAAATCTCGTTAGATCTGAATGCAGCATTACATGCGCTCATGCAAGTTTTAAGTGGTGATCAATGTTTTGGCATTACGTACGGGTCCACATGAGACACCATTCCGGTCCGGATCCGGACCCAGGTCCGCCTATTGGTGACCCCTGCCATATAAGGTATGGGACTGACGGAAAGGTCCGTCCCCGCCCCGTTCTGCATGCTGCAGCGAAGTGTACTTGGCTATTTTTGAACCCTGTGCACCTCCACTTAATGGTGTGATGCCGTCATTTTCTGGGTAAAAAAAACATCAACATGCATTATGGGAGATGTAGTTCATGGCTAATGCAGGCTTTAAAGCAGCATATTTTAAGACATGAATACATCTTCAAAGCTCTCGCGGGCCACATAACACAACGTGGCCGGCCACATTTGGCCGCTCAAGGCCCGCAGGTCCTGAGTTTGACACGTGATGTGCAGTACAGTTAAAGAATAGAACTTTAATTGTGGTTTAAGAGAGGACATTTTCATTGAGTGCAACCTTTCTGTCCATGCAGGGTGAGACAGCAACTCTTCCTACTTTATTTTACAAACACAAAGCTGATGTTTATGTCCGGCCGAGAGAGGAATAATCTCTTCCATAATCTTCATTCCATCAGGAAGTCCTTCCTTCTCTCACCTGGAAGTGTTTCTGCATCATTAAAACGTCCAAAGGAAGTGACCTGACGTGTAGCAGCTCCTATAAAGGTTGGGTTTTCGCTCTGTGGATTGTGTTTCTCCTGCTGTAATTTAAGTTCAGATTAGAAGCTTGTTTCAGATTGATTTGATGCATCAATCAAGCAGAGGAACTCTGAGCGCTTCACAGCTCAAAATACACGTTGGTTTTTCTGCAAAGAGGACAGAATGAGCATCTTAATGTCAGATCTGTACACACACAGGTCATAACTGTGCCCGATGTAGCAAGAGTTTCACAAATGTGACAAAATGCCTTCATCTCTGTTTTTTACCTGCTGTATCATTAGACCTTTTTTAAAAGTCTAAATGTTTTTGTTCTTTCTGGTTCCATCTGCTTTATGATGTTTCCTTTAGCCCCGCCCACCTGGCTTATAATGTTGAAATACTTACATGACCAATATCTGTATATTTACCCATACATGTTTATATTTGTGCATTTTTCATCATATGAGCTGACATAACACAATATATGCATAAAAGTAAAAGATATTTTTAGTTAATTAAATGCCTCTTATTGTAGAAGCTGAATGCAACCGTAATTTACCCAAATTAAAGATTTTACATCAGATTTAGAGCAAAACTATGTATATATTCACACAAACACCACATTTTTATTGTTTCGGAAAACGGTCATGTGAGGATGACTTGATGTCGGCTTAGATTGTCAGAAAACTTTCAGATAAATAAAATTTATGCAGATGACTTTTCAGAGCTTCAGTTTCTAAAATGTTTAGTTTTTTTAATGAGGTTAAATATATTTTATTTTGCATTTTCAGTCGATTGTAGCAGCGGAGCAGCAGATTGTATCACCTGTGTGCTCTTCATATCAGTTTGCACGGTTTTTAAGAACTTTATTTGTAATTTTTTTTTGTGCACAGCTCATGAAATGCAGCTTTTTGTAAATTACACAGATGAAAAAATGAAAAGTTTATTTTTAAAGTTCTGTTGCCTTCCTAAAAGAAGAACGCTGGATAAACGGTTCAACTTTCTTTCTAATTTCCTTAATTTCCTGGTTCTTTAAGTGTCTGTGGTGAAATGAAACGCTTGTGTTGCTCAGCTTTGATGGAACAATTTTTAGTTTGTCAATCTGGTTGCAGGTTGGACTGAGTGCCTGTTGTTGAACGCAAAGTCAAATCTAATAAAGTGAAAGAGTAAAAAGTGGAACCTTTTATATATTGAAATGTTTTTGTTATTATTATTATTATTTTATGACCCACAATGTCTGATATCGTCATAATGAAAATAATCCTTTTGACTGTAAAGCACAACGTTAATATCAAACATTTCTCCTCTGTTTGCTCAGATTTACATAAACATCATTCAGTCTAAAAAATGCTGTAAATATGTCTGAATAAATTCCTCCTTAAAACTCTGGAATGTTGTTTTTGTAACTTTGTCTTTTTTAAATGAATATCTCCCATCAGTTTGACCTGATTAATCTGGATTAAAATGTCAGCTAATGTCTTGTGATTTGGAATATAAATGTTCTCATGTGAAGCTGCTCAGAACTGAGAGTGTCATCTCCAGGCTTGTGGACAGGGCAGATAAGATTAAAGTCTTCACACGCAGGAGGAGTCTTCTGACATCATCACAACCAGGGAGCATTCGACCCTCCCACACCTTCACTGAAAACCAGAACCTCCGGCTGCTGACCTTTGACCCCTCCGCATACAAACACACAGCATGCCAGACGCACACAAACACACACTTTCAAGGAGTTTTAGCATCTGTGAAAAGTAAAGTATTTGTGCCAATTAAAAAGTTTCAGTTTTTAAATTTAGCTTCTTCCCTGCTGTTTCACAAGAGGCTTATACAGCGCTCACTCCAGATAAGAAGAGAGATGAACTGTGGCAGAGGACTGGCCAGGAACAGAAACAAAGGAACTGAAAATAATATATA